GATTGCTGTATTTATTTTGTAATTATACCTATTGACAAAACATGTAAGATATCATTTCGCTATTAAATTATAATTTTAATATTCCCGCCATAAAAGGAAACGCGAACAAGGTATAGAATATTATACTACATTTCTGCTACTAATAAAAACTTCTATTCTGCATCGGTAAGGTTGAGAGTGACATGGAATCTAATTGTAAGGTGAAAATCCTTATTACTTCATGCATAGATATATGATCCGTATTTTAAGTATTGTCTGTCGATGACATCGTTTAATCATGAAACGTGAATTGCTGACAGATTCTTCTTCATTATCATCCAAGGAAAGCGAAGCAACATCTTCCACAGAAACAAGAACGAATGATAAACAAGAAGGAGGTAAAGTCCGGTTAGCTATTGTCGCTGGATTTTTTGCAACTGTTGGAAGTCTGTTGGGTAAACTTGCTGGAAATGTTGGAATTGATTCCGTGGTAATTAATGTAATTTTTATATATTGTGCTGGATTGTATAAGTAAAACATATAATAATTGTTCGTTCCTAAATAAGGTTGGATTGCTTCTCAAAGGCGTCCTCTTGGTACTGATGGTATCGAGTAACACAGTCGGTTGCACGTTTTTCGTGAAAGCGTTGAATGCCAGTGGATCTTCTTTACCGTGCACAATTGCCAGCGCCGCCACTAGTTACGTTTGTTCGGTAATTCTTTGATCAATGTATCGAATTAATAACAAGAGAAATGTACTTTTATTTCACAGTTGTAATCTTTTATCCTGTTTGAAGGCTCTAGCGGGTTCTTTGGTTTTTAACGAATCCACGTCGATCACTTGGTGGTGCGGTATACTGTTAGTTATTTTAGGTTTATTTTTCATCAGTCGCGCTCCAACAAAAGCTGTTTCTACGGAGAAATTGAAGCAGAAATAAACCGAAGGAGCATCTTGGAAGTGTTCGTTTCAATAACTCGTGTTATTTCGTATTAGGTTATTTCTCTTCATGTGAACATGTATTAGTATTGAATAGAATAAATAAATGGATGATCACGTTCTGAATTTCTTGGAAATTATTTCAGCTTCCCTTCTTTTTACTTTTATGATATACTAATTAATTTTTCTAATTAACTCGTACATCTTTAAGTACAATTGTAGTATCGCATCAGGGGTAATAACAGATTTATTATTGATATAAGCAAGCGTTAACCTAAAAACATTTCAACCATAAAAGATTTTTTTATGTTCTTTCATGTAACTGCCTTTCGTTGCTTGAAATTTACGTTAATGCATTCTCTATTCTTATTTCTCTTCATTCCCCTTGAGAAAAGTACTGAGTGCGAGAAACATGGAAGGAAAGACAGAGAAACTCTGGCATGGAAAGAGATCTCAAGTGGCACTTGTTTTAAAGTGCAAAGTGGATCTGCGTATGTACTAGTAATAGTACCGGATAAGAGACACGAGGAAAAAAGAATGGAAGATTCTTCCGCCCTATTTCCTCTGACACACGGACTATTCAAATACTTCTTTTTTTTACTGGAGTGAGCCTAAAATCCTCTGTAAGTCTCTACGATAAATCTTCCTAGTGTTTTACTAATGCGTCGCTTGCATAATTAATTACATTAATATTTTAAATTATAGCAATAAATACTAAAAATTCAGTTTTATTCTAGTATTTAAAATATAAATGTGTATTATAGAAAGCATAGAAACGTATATACTATAACTAATAAGAAAATAGATATATTTGTAAGTAGTTTCAGTATTGTTTGTTCAATTGTTACCTAGCAATTGTCTGTATTTGTAAGGGAATGTTTTAAAGTAATTAAATGAAAAGTTCTATCAAATGTCAGTTTCAATTAAATTTGTGTATATTTTATTTCTCTATTACACTTCAATAACAAATTTAAAAATTGCGCACTATATTTTATATTGATTGATCATAGATTTTTATACGCGGATGTTTTCAATAGCATAAAATGCCTAGCTTCAGATAAACAAATTAAATCGAGATAGAGTTTAAATAACTGATATAATTCTGATCCACCCCACTTTCCTATCAAGTCCTGATTTACAAACCATAAGCATTCTGGTCGATGTTACGACCGCGCTACATCTCTTCCACCACGTACGTACGTTAACCCAGGTTAGTAATGAAAGAAGTCACTAGTCCAGGGTTACTAACTAGCACCGCTGGTATACCCTAGTTAAAGTTGTGTGTGTACAAAGCTGTCGTTGGCGAGAGCTTCAGTCGACCAGGTTCTCAGTTTGTGGGGCAGGGTCGTGGTTCATAGGTGTAGCATGTGGTCGCGAAGGAGAATATTGGAGGAGAAGCGAGACGCGAAAGAGTAAGAGGACGAGTTGTATCGAGCGGCGTTTGCGCCGTGGCACTTCCCTTCACAACCGCCGTCTGCTGGCCGACAGCGACTCTCCGGACTCGAGGATGCCGGTAGTTTCCTACTTTTTCTCTTTCGCGTGTTTTTTTTCTTCTGTTGCGTTTACTTACGTATCACCACACGAAATTTTATATCTCAATAAACCGCTCATTGATAAAATCATCTCTGACGTAAAACGCGGAACTCTGTACCTACATACACGATACCTCCTTCGCTCCTCGGTCATGAAAAGAAAAAGAGACACAAGGTCACCTAGGGTTTATAATTACGTACCACCTTATTTACGTATGGACGCTTACTCACCGTGCTGGATTCGATGACACTGTTTACCTTATTCAGATCAGATCAAACGCTGTTCCATACCACCCATTAAAACTATCAACCGTGTTACTCGAACTTCAATTACCAAAGGAATCAACGCTGATCTTTTATCTTTTCCAAACAACTCGAACGTACTTTAAATTCAAACCACCTTCCCGCCCTTTCCCGTTTTTCGAAAATGGCGGACGTTGTCGGTGAATGGGAACTATAGTCACTGAATCAACACCGACCATGGGTCTCTCAAAGAGTAAACATTGTACATGACAAAATACAACGGATTACTCATCGATACTGATAGTACTCGTAATAACCAAGCAAACCACTGTCCATTGAACATGTTCTGTACGCTGAACAACCATCCTCGTGAATCCCATGTCTCGAAACCCTACCCGAGGGTGGCTTTCGCAAATCCAACGGGTCGTACTGCCCCGTACACGCCTTACTTTTCTCCCACCACGCCTGTACCCGCTACCCCCACGCCAACCAGTTCTCCCTCTCGGCAGCGAGTGCCCCTAGATTCTAGCAACGCTCCTTGCTGCCGAGACAACGGGACAGTTTTCATACGGCGCACCCTCCTACCCAATCGAGTCGAACCGTACGCACGGTGAGAGGAGCTAGTGCGTAACGCGGTCCGCGTTAACCCGTGTCTCCCGCTCGATTCGCCGCGGTGTGCGTGCCGAGACGGTGCGGTGATTAATCGGGGAACCAAAGGTGCCTTGAACGTGACAGTGTTTCGCCAGGTAGACCGGGATTCATCGACTTTGATCCGATCGGTCGCCTCCTGCGAAAATCATCGTAACCCGATGCATCTCTCTCACGCACCTTGCCACCCCTGGTCTCGCGCCCTCCTCACCGTTTATCACCGTTTCAACCCATAACCCCTTGCCTTTATAATATCGAGTCAGGCTGGTCGTAGAGACTTTGAAATAAATTGAATGAACATGAACGCCATTCGTCCTTTTCAGGTTGAAATCAGATGTTCCGTTTCTAATACCAACATTTAACGGTTGGGGTAAAGGGAAATTGATAAACATGAAATTCTTTTTGTTTTTATCTTTCCTTTTCATTAGTTAGTTAGCTTTTTAATTAGTCACATTGAAATAGATCTTGCAAGCATAGCTACCGAAAGAATTGCAAGGCAAGGGGTTAACTCGGCGGTCGGCCAGCTGCGGATCATATTTACGCCGATGCTATAACCCGTGAAACCGTTAGGCGGGGACTGGCGAAAGTAAATAGGCGCCTCGTCACTCTTATGCGGTATTCTCGGATCCAGTTTGAATGAAACCGATTACAGTCGGGTGACTTGAATGGGATCACCATTTCCCCTCGCTGGAATTTGTCGCTGGACAACCATCGAGCCGATCGACCATAGTTTCCATGAGATTCTCGCGTTCCCTGCTTTTCGCGCGATTAACTCCTTGCCTTGCCATGTGTTTCACAGATGCACTCGTCGGAAGTATTTTACCCTTTGTTGTTTATTACAGGAGAGAAAGATTCTACTATTACTGTAAGTCTACAGTTACTTTGAACATTGCATGTTGATGACAAAAAGGTGACGTTTTGTTATGACGTCAGACAAATTAATAACATTCCTTTTCGTTGAATCGGATTTCGAATTTTTGCCACGAGTCTTATTCGATATTGTGCATAAGGGGTTAATTTTAAGCGAACTGCGAGTGTTAACGCACAATATGGATTTTATAGAGACTGCAATTTGATAGAAATTTGTCTGACGTATTACAGATTCCAGTGAGTTAGAGTGAAATAGAGACATCATTGAACTGTATCCTCTTTCTCGTTGATTCTACGAGGAACAGCTTCTTAGAATGTTACAATGAAAAGACTGAAAATATTTTATTATTACATTGTAGTAATCATGAGAAAGAAGTATGGAAAGGACGTGAAGCACGACCGTGATTACATTCCTTTCCCAAATGCATATTAAAAGTACATTTCGAACATTAATTTACGGAATAGCCTAATGTGAGAGAAGTCGGAAATAGCTAGACCGAGAATGGTTATGCAAATTAAAAACTTTATAGGTTAATTTACGAAACTAGCAATTAAATAGACATTTATTGCAGCCGTGAATGTGTTTAGTGAGTAAGAAAGGCATTAAAGTTTGCCTTAAATTTCATTATTTCGCTGAATTACACGTGATTGTTCAAAATGAATTATATTAAAAACAAGGATCGTAACAGCAAACATTACGTTATGCTATTAAAGTTACCTGATTATCTAATAATTTGTATTTCCGATTAGATTGCTTTCAAAAGTCTATTTAAAGAATCTTTAAAAGATGTAATTTGAGTTAAGAATTTTCATTCGGAAGTTCGAGGGACACGTTCTATGGAGAGATTGCTTTCTAAAGGGTCACAAAGATCATAAGTTTGCCTTCGAAAGTAAGTTCGAACATAGACAGTTTTCGATAGTTTTTATTGTGTCACTAGGTTAATCGTTCGACTTGTTAGGGGCTTGATTTTAAATGCTTTTGTCATGGCAAAATAGTTAGCGGTACGGGATGTTGGAAGACGACTCAGGGACAACGATTGTTTACTATTATGGAACTGGAATTATTTAAAATACCGTTTTCCAATATCAGTGCAATATAAGTGCAATATTTAATAAGCGGCGACCTTGAATGTTACATGATAACTCATACGAATCGTGTGGTTATTTCTATGACGTGTACTTTGTTGCTAGCTAACTGGAAAAAAATCAAATTATATAAACGTCAAATAAGGGAAAGATAAAAATGCACCTTGAATAATTAAAAATATTCAAACATTATTAGTAGATTGTGGATTAAAAGTATCCCAAATACACGCAATTCTAAGAAATACTATAAAATATAAATATTCATGCAGTATGCTACAGTCATTTTTTAAATTAATTTGATTACTCAATCAATTTCTATAAAGATTATCGCTTATCATCTAATGAATTTTTACAGAATATATTAGTAATAACAGTAGTCCCTATTCAGCCATTTTCATTCCAAAAATCCTCTAATAATTATATAAATATTACCGCGAACCTAGAACCCCGCAATTTCCCAATAAACAAAACCGACATCTAAAAAGAAAACACGTCAACACATCGACAAAACTAACAAAATAAAATAAGAACATAATTTTCCTGATATTTCACATAAAATATTCACACGTGCGAGATGCTTTCTCTATACACGCTTCATGAACTCGGCACGTTTCTCGGTACAATTATTGCCGCTAGACGTTGAAGTGTAAAGACGGATCAAAAGTGACCCGGTATCGGTTAGTCACGGGCACGGAATCGATTAATGTTTTATTAATTTCGTAGCGCCGGTCATAGGTGACCTGTGCGCCAGTCGACCGTGTCAGGAAAACATTTACCCTATTCTACAGTATATACATATGTACACACAAGTGTACACACAAATTCGGCAGGCATACCGAAATTTATCGTCCCGTCCCGATCTCGAGCCTGTCCTCTCCTTTCGACACGGTCGTGGCTCTCGCTCGATCCTCGGCCGACCGATTGTCCCGACGAATTTGATTTTTGGCAAGATCCACGCACGCGAGACCGGCTTCGATTTTCTATTTGGCGGCCGTCCAACTAATACGGCGAAACCAAAGACGCGAAAAACTTTTTAATTTATCGCCGCGGGCCGAGTAACGATTCCAGCCGCGTTTCATTCTCCGTTTGGACGGGAATGACGACGACTTCCTCGACGGATGCATCGTGCATTTAAAACGTCAAGAAGAAAAATCGGCCGGGAGAGAAATAGTACGAAGCCATCCGCCACCCTTTCCATCTGTCCCCATTTTTTCCACGAACGATTCGAGTCTAAGAATCATTCCCGTTCCCGTTCGCCGGGTAATAACTTGATTATTCGACGCAGTAATAAGCTGCTTTCGTTTTGCTCGCTCGTTCGACGAATTACAGGACAGGACAATGGTTACGTTGGTAGGAAGATCCAGCAAACGATAAACGACGTTAATATTTCAGTGAAACGCGCCATCGCTTCGCGACGAGACTTCGGTATTAATTTCACGCGATTACGGCCACGGAACGGTTGTTTATCGCGATTTAAAAAAAAAGGAAGGGAAAAGAAAATTGGAAAAGTTTGCCGGGACTCGTTTGCG